TCATGCCCAGTATAGAAACTGGGGGAGTTGGCTGGGGGGCAGCGATCGCTGCTTGGGAATGGGCTGGGCATCGGTCAGTGGGTGGTGAGCAAGTGCATTGTGCATCACTTGCTTTGCATATTATTATTATTATTACTACTACTATTCTATTTTACTTTACTTCAATTATTAAACTGTTCTTATCTCAGCCCACGAGTTTTCTCCCTTTTACCCTTCCGATTCTCTCCCCCATCCCACGGGGGAGGGGGAGCGAGCGAGCGGCTGGGTGGGCTTGGCTGCTGGCTGGGGTGAAAGCACCACAGGCCTGTTTCTGGGGAGCAGCGGCATTTCGTAACCCGAAGGATATTTGTGCTGCGGCAGCGCTCGGTACCATTTCTCTCGCTGTCGCTGGAGGGAGCTGCCCCATCCTTCATTGGGCTCCCAGATGTTACGACAAGCTGCAGCTCAAGTAGTTGTTAAAAATGAAGGCACTGGAGGATTCCAGGGGGATTTCAGATGAAAACACAGACCCAGGACTGGCTTCTTCTGCAGAAGGGCCCTGAGATGCCACACGCTCCGGTGTGGGACCTATGGTCTGGGGGCATGGGGTGGCTTTGATGCTGATGGGACGTGGAGATTTGTACGGCCGAACAGGACAAGACCGAAATGCAAAAGAAAGCAGCAGCCATAGTTCCTGGGCCAGGCAGGATTTGGGGCATTCAGCCTTCCCCCAGCCGGCGTTCGGTACCGGCTGGCGTTGTCCTCCAGGCACCTCCTGTAGATGCTGAAGAGCAAAAGCACCACTAGGGAGCAAACCCCAGATCTGCCAAAAAAAACCCTGGCAATGGGTAAATACAGCATAGCTCCTTCACCCGTTTCTATTTAATGCGTAAAACCCCCCACCTTAGTCTAATCACTTTAGCATCCAGACGCAGCACTCCAGTATCCGCTGGTGCACCCAGGGACTAAACAAGCTTTGAATTAAGCAAATGGCACATTAAAAATGTATTTCTGAATGCAAGAGTAAGCAGACAGATAGCGCAGAGCTGGGTATAATGGGCTGTTTATGCAATTGTGCTGGGGGCTATCATTAACCCCAGGTTTTTCCCCAGGGAAGGAGGTCAGACACGGGAGCTGGGGCCACGTTTAGGTAGATCAGGTATTTATACAGCTGCTCCAGGGGACTAGCGCAGGCTCTCATCTCTTCCTTCCGCAATGAGCAATTTTTGTCCCCCTTCCTTGGCGAGCTAAAGAAGCGCTTGCTCTTTTCTCCAGCTCCAGTATCAGGCCACACGTCTGGGATCAGGAGCACACTTGGAGTTTATCCCCATCATCTTCAAGGCTCCCACTCCATCCCCAGCTCCTTTCATTCCTACCTATGTAATTGCTCCCCAGAAGCTGCAATAAATGCTTTTGGAGATGGCTATGCAGGTATGGTATGAGCAGGTAAGAGGCTACTACTTATCGGGGCTTGTCCTGATCAGCTCTGACTTTAATCCATCCCGATAATTCAGACCTCAGCCTCTGCTCCTGTTCAAGGAGGTGGCAGAGGTTTTTCCAGCCAGCCACAAGGAATAACTCCTGGTGCAAAGGTCTGCCATCAGGGAATACGAAGAGCCAGCTCATCGTCGCTTGTAAACTTGCTGCCCCAGGGCCTGATTTCCAGAGCAAAAAAAGAAATTTAGAAGGCCACAAACTTCAGACAGAGTAAGAACTACCGCTGGGGGCTACAGGAAGGGTTTCTCTCGGAGAGCTCCATGAGGCTACAGCTGAAAACCGAGGCCAGAAGGAAGGGCAGTGCTCAGGTCAAACTCCCAACAAGTGAAGTCTCTGAATCCAGAGCCCTCGCATAGCTCCCACACACCTTCACTGGTAAACCATTGGGTAAATAATCCAGGCAAGAGAGTTACAGGCTTGTTTTTAATAAAAGACATCTTCAGAAAAGATATTTTAGTACAAAAAAAAAGTTTAAAATACACAAGCTACCGTTGCCTTTTTTTTTCCCAATATCAACATTTATAAATTACACCACATTGTTATTAAAACCGCATTTAAATATGGAAACAAATTAAGACAGGGAATTCATCGGGAAGATCCAACATCCTACAAACGACTATTTACAATGTTTAGCAGCTAGGAGCTCTAGCACAGTAGTCAATATGACTTCAATAGGGTGGGATGCTTGGGAAGCCCCAAGACGGCAGCTGGGCCCGTAACAGCTTTTGGGGACCTGGTTTGCCCACCTCTCCCCAGACACCCACCCCAAAGGCAGAGGCTGTACGTCAAGGTAGGCACCCAACAGGGCGGTGCAGCTCTTGCAGAGAAACCCCGTTGTCCCCTGGCCCTCTAGAGCAAGTTTTGGGGCACGCACGTGGGACGGTGCTATTCGCTCTGCAAAGTACGGGGAGTCTGTTGGGAGAAGGCAGCCCTTCAGGGGGGTTTACAGCTGACAGCAGGGCTGGTCCTGCCTGGGGACACTCACTGCTCTGTACATGTGCTGTCCTAGTGCTTGTCCTAACCACCCCCAGCAACACCGGTAGGCTCCAGGCAGAGCTTAAGACTCAGCCCTCCAGGATCTGGCCCTCGTGCAACTGCCTGCAGGATCCCACCCATCATCTCCTGGAGCTGGAAGCCGTTTCCCCAGCTCCCGGCAAATTCCAGCACAGCCAGAAATACCAGGCTTCGAAGCTGTGCAGGCCAGGGAAGCCAAGTGAGCCTGAGGTCCCCTTCTGCACAGGGTGCCCTTCAGCCTTCCCATCAAAACCCATGTTCTCCGTGGGCTGAAGTCACCAGAGCAGGGGCTGCGCAGATGGAGCTGCCCGAGGCTCACTGCCCCATGGCACCAGCCGGGGAAGGAGGCTCCAGGCTTTCACAGGAGGGTACATAGGACATTATTTGGGAACAGCAGTGAGAGACAGGACACAGCGAGGCTCCGTACCCAACACTTGGGTCCAAGCTAGCAAAACCCTTCACGTGCTCCCCTTCCCCCCGCCCCAGCTCATCAAAACCAGCACAGAAGTGTTCAGACAGGACAGAAAGCACCAGACAACTTGAACTTGCCGCAGCAGCACGTGGCAGGTTGGAAGACCCTTGTGCATGCTCTGGATGTGGATCTCCCTGCTGGTGGCTCCTCCTCTGGTTTGGGAGCTCCCATCCAGGGATTTCAGCAACATGGAGCTGTTTTACTCCTAGCGAGGGGCTGTGCCGTGCCACTAAAGGGCTGCTAACCAAGAGAAGTGTTCCTTGGGGGACTTCCCAGGGAGGGTGGGTTTGTTTTCTGTAAACACCAAGTGATGGAGCTCAGGTCTGTGCTCCGCAGAGGTCAAGTCTCAAGTGGCAGCTTTAGGGCTCTGCTTCCAGTGCTGCGGGTTGAATTTTCATGGTGGTTGACTTCAGCGGGTAGTACCTGCCTTTCCATGTCTTCCAGAAGATGCCCTGCTTGCGCTCGTGCCTCTGGCGGGGGATGGAGCGGAAGTACTTCCCGTTGAGGTTGGCATGGCCACAGGTGCTGAACCACCAGCCACCTACCAAGGCAACGCAGAGGCAGCTTTAACCCACAGCACTTCCAGACAGAAAACAAACCCAGGGTCAAGGCAGCCGCTGCCCCCTTTTTCCCTACTTTCCAGGGCTTCAGGACGTTACAAGACCACCTCCACACTTGAGGAGTCCCACGCACCGGGAAGCCTTCGCACAGATCCTATGTGACTTCAGGATGCATCTGCAAATCCCTGCTGCTCTTTCTGGCATGCAAAACCCCCTCAAACCCTTCAGCAGCCCCATCTCAGGCCTGGGGACTGGCCTCTGCTTTGCTTGAAAGGTTTCCAAGCGAGGTGGCAGCCAGCAAAGCTGTTACAGAGACAGGCCAAGACCTGAATCATGAACCCCCCCCGGTTTCAGCTTCCCTCCTGGTTCTCTACACAGCTCCTCCCGAGGACACAGCTTTGCCGGGGAAGCAGGGGACAAGCCAGGCTCAACACCGAAGGGGCCCAGTCCCGCAGGGTCACTGTCCCACTCACAGCCACCAGACAGTGGAGGGCTGAAGGGAAAGCGGACGCCATTGGGACGGACAAGCTCGTACTGACCTGAGAGATGTTTAGCACAGTTTGTGTCAGCTTTGAGGTCGTGGTCGCGATCCCGAGTGGAGAAGGGCAGCTGCCTGAAGTCCCCAATGGCGTTTTCCAGCTCTCCAGACAGAGGTCCCAGCAGGTTGAGTGTGTAGGCTGTGCTCTCACCACCAAGGCTGAAGACAAACTGAACCACCTGGGAATTTCCCTCCCAGTCTTCCAGCTCAATCAGGAGATCATATCTTCCCTCTTGGACAAGGTGATGCATCTTCTCCAGGCCCAGCCAGAAGTCACCTGAAACAAGACACATTGCATGGGCTGCAGGGACACAAACATGTCGTGCAAAGCAGACACGTGCACAGGCTCCAGAAGCAAACAGGGACAGCCCAGGGCACCACAGCATTTGAATCGCTGTCTGGCACCTGCAGGACAAGTCAAGAAGACCAAGGACTCTTGCTCTGCAAGCAAGTGCCTCCCCCCACCCCCAGCCCAACGCTGTGCTCCAGCACAGAGAGATCTCCAGGGGTCAGCAACGGGGAATAACTTGTGCTAAGATATCACTTATCCCACAATAAGACGACAGATGCCATCATCCACCTACCACGAAGGTCTCCAAAGCCATTCTTGTAGGCATCCCAGAGCTGGTCAAAGTCCACAGAGCCATCTGTGCGCCTCTGGATCACTGTCCAGCCACCTTCTGCGGGCCGGGAAAACGTGGTCATTTGGGGTTACCATTTGCAAGACCACCGCGCAAAGGGCCACAGGACATCCCCGCTCCTTTACCTGCGGTCATGTCACAGTAGACTTTGAAGGGCTGAGACCCTGCAGGCTGCACCTGGAAAACGCCGCTGCTTTGCTGCCCAGCCAGGAAGAGCTGGTGGCAATCCTCCGGGAGCTCTGCGGGGGAAGGAAACGGCCATTGAGAAGATGGCCCTGAGTCCCATTTCCTCAGCAGGTTGCTCCTACCACGGCCCCGGCACTTGCAGCCCTGGCCACGAGCCCAGCCAGCTGTGCACAGCGGTGGCCGCAGCTCCGGACACGCGCTGGAGACGATGGCCCCTGACTTCAGCGTCTTTAAACGCTGTGACCCCGTATCTTCCCATTTATCCAAACACGCTTCTTGGGCTTCCGTCCAAGGCAGAAGCCAGGCGTTGGGCCAGGCTGGGGTGACCGAGGCTGGAGAGCACGGCTCCCCATTGAGGAGAGACCCGTGGAGCTTCCCAGCTCCCTCCGCGCCTGCGGCGGGCAGGAGCAGCCCATTTGGGGTGGGGTGATGCCAGAGGCAAAGCAGGGCCAAGCATCCCCGTCCCACCCCGAGGTGAGGTGGTCTCAAAGGGCCTCAGGGGCAGAAAGAAACCCCAAGTCCTGACATCAGGAAGGCACCTGAGCATCCAGCACACGACCTCTTGCTCCCAGCCACCGTGGTGGCCCCAGCCAGACATCCCACTGGGCGACCTGCCACCAGCAGGCACAGGGCCAGGCTGGGGCGACCCTTTTGCCCAAGACACACGGACCGGGGCAGGGAAGGGGTGGGTGGACCGCAGGGAGCCCCAGCTCATTGCACAAGTGGATTCCCCCGGGTGAGGCCACCCCCCAGCTTGCCCCCCTCCATCCTCACGCCAGCTGGGCTCCCACCTCTCCTTCCACCCCTGCGGGGACTTTGCCCAGAGCTGCCAGCAAAGCACCGTTTCAACAGCGCCGATAAAAGTCCATCCAGGAACCACCACCCGCAGCGCTCGGGGAGAGAGGCGGGGGAGAAACCTGTTACAAAACCCGAGTCAAAAGGCCGCAGGAGGATGTGCGGGGACTTCAGCCTCTGGGCTGTCGGTGCAGTCAAGGGGCTCTTTGTCAGCCGGGACAGGTGCCCCCGTCACCCCCAGACAAAGGGGGTCTGTTCTCCCCACGTGAGGGTGGGATGGATTGTGGTGGCTCACAGCTGCTGCCAGCATGACCCCAAGACAGACGGGTTAAGAAACCTAAAGACAAGCCCCGGGCTGTGCCCGGGTGCTGACCGCCCCCACAGCCCCCCTGCGGGGTCCCCCTTGCAGTAGCTGCCCCCAGGGTCGGGGCTGGCACCCTGCTCCAGGGCAGCGGTGGGGAGAGGGGCCTCCCCCACGGCCACAGGGCTTGGTGTGGGGCAGAAGGGGGAAAATGGGGCCTTTGAGCGGCCGAGGGCAAGAGCAGCCCCCACGGGGCATCACCCGCTGCCCTCCTCCTCGCTGGGTGCCCGGGGAGCCCCAGTGTTGTGTTGGGGCAAAGAGCAGAGCCCCAGCTAGAGAAGAGGTCACTGGAGGGGGGACCCAGGGGACGGCAGTGTGACACCTGCCACCACCTTTCACCCATTTCACCCCACACCGGACCCCCCCAGTGAACTTTCACCTCCGTGGCACAGGCAGCCCCTCTCCCACCGCCCGCAGCGGGACAGCCCCGCAGCCAGCGCGGCTGGACTCGCGCTGCCGGCAGCGAACCTCGCACCCCCAGGCCAATGCCAGCGCCACACTGGTGCCACCAAGCCCATCGGTGCCCCCATGGGACAAGCGTGCAGCCCCGAGCCCTCCCCCAAGGCCGTACACGCATGGATCAAGGGCAAGCTTTTTACACGAAAGATCAAACCCACACAAAGCCGCCCAGCGCTGCGGGGAGGCCGAGTGCATCCCCAGCATCCCGCTTTCTAGGCGAATGCAGCCAGGGAAGCCAAACGAGGCTCAGGGGAAGGAAAACCCACAACCTGACCCCACGGCCGCGGGACCCCAGCTCACAAGGGTGGCAGCAGGGAGGTGCCGGAGGCTGCTGGGCTCGCTCGGCCTCGCAGAGCTCCTTGCCTCCCCTCCCACCAGATCTCCCAGCATCGACAGGACGGTGCCCGGGGGATGCTCAGCGGCCCCAGTACGCCAAAGTCAACTCTATCCCTGTCTGATTTTTTTCCTGGGCCCTGGCCACACTCGCTGCAGTCGCATCTCTCCTGTTTTCCTGGTGCAACGGGGACTTCCACGCAGCTGAATGAGAGGCAGCTGCTTGAACAGCCTCAGCTCAGTCTTTTTGTTTGAGGAACACGCTCGTTAGTTCCAGTTCATGTTGCACATCCGTATGGCACCAGCAGAACAACAAGACCTCCTGGCTGCTCTGGATGTTTTCCTTTCCCTCCCTCTTTATTTAGCCAAACAAGACAGAAGAATCCACAAGGCTGGCTGGAGCCGCCCCGGGCATGGCACCCTATTTACCCCCCAGGATCTCCAGGCATGACAGGAGGTCACCAACCTGGGATAAACACCCTTTCTTGCAGATGGCAAGGCATGCCTGGAGCTGTTTGCATCGCCTCCCCCTCACCCTCCCCAACCCAACCCGATTATTTTGGAGTCCCAGCGCCGCGGGGAGGGAGCGAGCGGGGCTCTACCTTTCCCCTACTCGGCCGGCTGCCAGGGAGCGCAGGCTCTGCCTAAAGACATGATCCTCTTTCTGCAAGCGATTAAACCTTTCCCTCTCCAGGCTGCTTCAAGCCTTCAACTTTCACATGCTTGGCCCCGTGCCATCTCTGGTCTGAAAAAACCTCACCCTCGCTGGATGCAAATAAAAGGGTCTTTCTGAAAGGGCTGCTGGTGGAGTGCATCGCTGTTCCCCAGGGCCGTGCCGGCACTGCGGCTCTGCCTGACAATAGGCAGGGAGCCGCCGGCACAAGCCTTCCCGACGCTTGCCTGCTCTAACAGCAGCCACAAGCCTCCCCAGGCAGAGGGCATGGGGCTGGCCTGCCAGATATTGTGTGCTTTGAGATTTGCCAGAAAACTCACTCGACTTGCTAATGAGAGGAAGCCAATTTGTTTTCTGTCAGTGGTATCAACATCAGGGATTAGGCGAGAAGGGGGAGCTCGCAGCTGGGCTGGGTGGAGGGCATCGGGATGCCCAGGGTCTCCCCATTGGGGAGAGTGTGGCACAAGAAGGTGCTGAGCTCTCGCACCTCTGGGGGCTGCGGGCCCTCGCTGTCTCCCACCGTGCTCCACAAGGGCTGCTGCACCCAGCACCCATCGGCCAGCGCAGAGCCGCCAGCACAGCCCACCTCTGCCACCGGTAAGTGGCAAAGACCCGAACCCATCTCCCTGCACGCCCCTATCAGCATAACCTGAGCACGGAGCCGGGTGGTCGGACCGGTTGGTTGGACCAGGTGACCTGTAAAGGTCCCTTCCAACCCAAACAATTCCAGGACTCCGTGACACCCACTACTGAGGGCAAGTCACCAAGCGGAGCTGGGAAAACACAGGGGGGAAAGAGGTTTTGAGACAGTTTTCTGTGCTGCTCTGACCTAGGGAGACCTCACGTAGCCCCACCGCGCCGAGCACCCCGAGGAGTTTGGAGCCCTGCATCCCATCTCTCTCCTCGTCCGTGTCGATTCCGCGGCTCTTTGTTCTGCCCACCCAGCTTTCAGGCGCACCGGTGCCAGCTTCGGGTTCCACATACAACTTACCGTGTGTTTTCCTATAGCTATCCCTGTGTTAAGCCCTGGGCAGGATTTCCCCGTGCATCCTCGCCCTGCCTGCTTTCTCTTTGGCTCACCCTGGCCATCCCCAGACAGCTGCAGGGACGGAGCCAGCACCGTGATTTAGCTGACAACACGAGAGCAGCTGCTCCTGGCCAAACCCTGCAGGGACACCGGTTCCTCTCCGGGAGAGAGGCTGCAGGACGCAGCGCAGCTGGGGACGCCTGCCCTGCTGCCCTTCGCTCTGCCGGAGCTCCTCCGGCCCCCGTGCCGGCAGAGAGGATGCCCCAGGCAGAGCCAGGAGCTCTGGATGCAGCATCCCCTTGCCGGCTCCGGTACACGCTTCCAGGGCTGCGTGGCCAGTGCTTTCACTGCCTGGGTGTTCGCTGCAGCTCAGCGCCTTCCACTAAGGATAGCGCTAGCTGAGGCATTTATCTTTCATATATGAGCCCTAAATACGAGCCAAGGGAGACGGACGCACACAGATCCAGCTCTCCTCTCATGGTCCAGGGCTCTCTAAGCTCCCCTCCACCAGCAGACAGGCGGAGAAGCAGACCCTGCCTGGCAAAGGGAGAGCAGGGGGACCAAGAGTTAACTGTGAGGAGCAGAGATCCTCCGTTCCTGCCTGCATTCACACACACCCCCCCAATCCTCTTTGACAAATACCTGCTAGCGGCATTTCTCCTCTCCCTGATGTACTCTTAATATCAGGCAGAAAAATTCCTCTTAAATCCTTAAATTTTTTTCCTGCTGGGCTAATACCGATCCAGAACGCTAGGATCCTGCCCGTGCTCCAGATCCCCCCAGTCTGGCCAAACTCCCAAGCTCTGGTTTTACAAGCAAATCTCACATCCTGACTCAGGACAACCGAACCTTTTGTTTCCAAACAGTTGCAACTGCGGCAGGTTTGCTCCGGCGCGGAGGAATGGGGCGGCACAGGCGGATACTCACTCTGCGTCAGCACGGGCTCCCCGCTAGTGTTCTGGCTCTGGTTGGTGAGGCTGAGGCTCTTCTTCAGGTTCATCTTCCACTTTGGAGACTGCGTTTTGTTGTCCTTCAGGTGTAAGGGGATCAGTAGATTGACCTAAAAGAAAGGCACAAGTCAGAATGATTTTATCTCAGCTCATTTTCAACACTAGGACTCGGGGGAGCTGATCAGCCGAGGCGCCAGCCGCTCCCCTGTGACAGCGCTGGGGCTGAACTTGCCCAGAAACATTGAGGAACAAGAGATACCCGAGGCTGGCAAAGCCAGAAACAATTGTGGGGTTTTGTACCCATGCTAACAAATTTATTGTGCAGATAAACTCAAAGGAAGGGCCCAGAGAGGCTCTGCATCCACACACCAATTCCTCTTACTGCTCCGTGCGAATCCTCGGGAAGCTTGCAGTTTGCTACCCTTGCACCAGCCCTGCAGCACAAGGACCGGGGCCTCAGTAGGGTCTCAAAAGCCAGGGAGCAGTGGCACAGGCACGGTGACACCCCTGTCACCACAGCGCTGTGCCAGCCGGGCTGCCGGGGTCCCTGCAGTGTGCAGGGCCGGGCTGCGGTCCCCTGGCCGCAGAGCGGGATGGGGGCTCACCTTGCTCTGCAGGCTTTTAATCTGCAGATTCTGCTTGTCCAGCTTGTACTGCTGCTGCTTGATCTTCTGCAAGAGCTCCTCGATCCGCAAGTTCTGCGCATCCATCAGGGACTGCAGGGGGAAGAGCCAGGTGAACCCCGCGGCTCCGGGGAGATCCGGCTGTGCTGCACGTACCCCACGGAGCCAGGTGGGCCAGTCCCCCGGCGGGGCTGTCCCCACGGCTGCTCCCGGTGCCTTCAGGTCCCCACGGCTGCTCCCGGTGCCCCCAGGACCACCAGGTCCCAAGAAAATATTCGATCCTATGTTAAAAGCCTGAACTCCCCCTTCTCTAACCAGCTGGGCAAACAAGTTACATTCATGCACTGAATGACAATCATGATTAGCCCAAAAACAGCTTAGAGATTTCAGCAGGTCCCACAGCCATAACCCTCCCTTCATTTCTCTCTCTGGTCTTCTTGGGAAAATCTACTTAAACTTCCCCACATTTACCAGATTTGGTTTTGGTTTTTTTTTTTTTTGCAGCCTAGCACATAATATCCTTGAATGCTCAATCAATCCTGAAATAGAACAGTAGTGTAATTTTACACTGAAAGCTTAAACTGAAATATCACCGTCTTGCAAAGGCCCAGTCTAAAGCACGAACCACTTGTTGACTGTGCCCAAAAGGCTATATCATGTCTACTCATTCACAGCTTTGAGGCTGTGATGCTTTGAGGTAGCTTTGATGCTACCTCAATGCTACCTCAGTCTCCAAATAGGTCAGCCACAGCCTCCAACAACAGACCAAAAAAGGATCATTTTCTTCAACACTAAATAAACTTGACACAATTAAAGAGAATTCTTGTCTTTATGGACAAGAAATTTTTTGCTTCTGGATGCCAAGGCCAGGTGATGAGGTATCTTACTGCCTGCAAAAGTAAAACTCCACTTGTTATCACTTGCAGCCTAGCTTTGGTATCAGCACTAAGTTGTTGTATCTTCTACATCATGTTTCCTTGTTCCCCTTTGCATATCATGTCCCATTCAATACTCTTCAATTCAAAATATGCCATCTTCAGAGAATATCAGTAGGACTGTCTATTTTAAGTAGCGTTGCTTCACTGCACACAGGCTGAGCTTCTGAAGATCTGAAGTGTGGAGTGTTTACTGCCATTCAGCTATGGGCCTATGAAAGTGATGTATGTCCTATTTCTGACTATCTAATAACTCAGAGCCAATGCCAGGGATCCCACCAACCTCAGGCAGAAAAGGCACTTAGAGAACTCCCCGTTCTACCGCAGATGTTTGCTGCATATGTATGGTACAAGCAGACTGCTCCCAAGTCCTGGAGAAGCTACACACCCCACATACAGCCCTTGCTCAGAGAAGCCTCTTCACTCCTTTACCAGGGAATCCACTGGAGTTTTTACCATCTTTCCCCAGGTCATCACTTTCTAACTATCTGTAGAGAGATCTGTCCCCAGTATAAGACAGTGTTTTTAGCTCTGTTTAGATCCAGCGAGGATTCTGACCATCCCATCCCATCCCATCCCATCCCATCCCATCCCATCCCATCCCATCCTATCCCATCCCATCCCATCCCCATCCCCATCCCCATCCCATCCCTGTCCCCATCCCCGTCCCCATTCCCATCCCATCCCATTCCTGTCCCCATCCTGTCCCATCCCATCCCATGCCATCCCATCCCATCCCATCCCATCCCTGTCCCCATCCCCGTCCCCATCCCATTCCATCCCTGTCCCCATCCTCATCCCCGTCCCCATCCCATTCCATCCCATTCCATCCCATTCCATCCCATTCCATTCCATTCCATTCCATTCCATTCCATCCCCATCCCCATTCCCATCCCATTCCCGTCCCCATCCCGTCCCGTCCCATCCCATCCCGTCCGCATCCCGTCCCATCCCGTCCCATCCCATCCCATCCCATCCCTGCTGGCTGCCCTGCCCCTCACCCTGCCCTGTGGAGCCCCGTCCCCACCAAGCCCTGCCCCGCGGAGCCCCCAGCCATGGGTGCTGCCCCCCCATGCGCCTGCACCCGTGTCCTCTCCCCAGGCCCTGCCCCGCTGGGAGCTGCTGGCCTCGGGGTGGGTGCATGCCGCAGGTGCAGGGCTCCCAGGCCATGCCCTAATGGGTGCTGGGGGCCCCAGAATGGGTGCCCGCTGTGGGTGCAGGGCTCTGCCGGGTGGCTCCGGTCCTGGCGCGGGTGCCCGCTGCAGGTGCAGGGCTCCCGGGCGATGCCCCACGGGGTGCTGCCAGCCCTGGGGAGGGTGCGCCTTGGGGTCAGCTCCTCTGCACACCTGGGGGAGCAGGACGTCCTCTCCTCTAAATGCTCTGGTCTCCGAGAGTGCCAGGGATGAATTCCTCCCCCCTCTAAGGCTTCAGTCATCCCCCTGTGAAAAATGTGCATCTTATTTCATTTGCGAGTGTCTCGGACTCCGGTTACCGGCTCTTCCCTCTTGTCCCGCCTTTTTCTGCTGGCTTAAAGGTATTTCCAGTCTCTGCTTTTCCTCCCCATGAAGGATTTCACACTCTGTGATGGAGCCACTCTGGGCTCTTCTCAGATCGGAGCAGATGGAGCCCCTCCGCCCCCGCCCCGCCGGGGGTTTCCTCCCGCCGCCCAGCGCTCGGTCCCTCCTCTACAAAGCGCATCCCCGAGCAGGGAGCTGCGTTCCCAGCCGCGCTGTCTTTAGGGGCTGAATCCCCACTTCCCCCCACTTGCTGGACGCTGCCCGTGCGTCGGGCTGGTGGTGAGGCCCGGTGGTACTAGGGCCGCAGCGGGGGCTCGTGCCGAGCTCCCCTCTGCTCAGCCCCACAGAAGCCCCCAGCTTCTGCCTCCACCCCAGCGCTGCCACTGCCGCCGCTCCCGGGGGAGAAGCCTTCTCGTCTTGTCCAAAACCTCCCGGCAGCAGGATTTCCCCTTCCAGGAGTCTCCGTGTCACCTGGGGTGCAGGCAGGGTGGTGGCACGGGAGCTTGCCCACGGCAGTGGCCATCGGGAGCAGCTTTCCCGCCCTGCACACCTCTCCCCTGAGGATTTTTTTGCTGCATTTGAGATCTGCCACTCCATTTAACTGCGGTTTTGCAGAGCTGCCTTTTAAGCCCAGCCTCTCCTGTGGCACTCAGCCTTGCCGAAGCGACGACGTGTGCGCCCAAGACTTCCATCAGCCAAACTTATTTTCCTGTGCCCAAGCAGGCAACTAATATTCAGGGTTTCCCATCTTTTCCCTTAGTGGGGACAAACTCCTCGTTGTTGGGAGCGAAGCACCTCGCTGGTGGAGGGGTGTTTATGTACCGAGGTGTAGGAGGCTCCTGCAGGAATCAATAGCAGCCGCCAGTTTCTTGTTCTTCTGGCCCTGAGCCGTCTCCAAGCATTTCCCAGGCTGCTGCTCGTGGAAAGGGTGAGTGAGAGGCCTCAGGGCAAGCACCCAGCAGCAACGGCGCAGGGAGGAGTCACAGAGGTAGGAGCTGGGGAAGGAGGAATTTGGGAAATCTCAGCAGGCAGAGTCCAGAGAGCCCCTGGGCCCCCCCGCCAGCGGGTGCTTTCGCCTTTATTTCATGGTCAGAAGGAATTTTTCAAGTGAGGAAAAAGAAAAAGAAGGAAAAAAATCTAGGTAGGAAACACTGCAGGGGAAAAAGAAACAACAAAAAACTGTGAATTGTGCTCTTTGCTTTTTCCAAACCTTTGAGGTCTGGGGCCCCTCTGCGCTCACCCTGCTGCGGGCGCTGGAGGGGAGCTGGGGCATGGGGGGGGTGGGGAGGGGTCACCCCCCGGCGGGGCGAGAGCGTCAGGCTTCCCTGCGAGGTCTGGGGTCCCTGCGTGGCACCTTGGGGTGCACCCGGCTGCCCTGGGCCCCCTGCACCCCCAGGTCACGCCAGATGTTGTACATCTGCCCCCGAGGGACGGCTCTGCCGCCGTACCCACCACCACCCCCGAGTGCTGCAAGGGCAGGCACAGCGCTGCCAAAAGTTCCCAAATGAGGTTGTCCCCCCCCCAAAACATGAAAATTCTGCTTTTCATCTTGGTCCTGCCGGTTTTTGGCACCCCAGGAGAGAGCGAGCTGGCAGGAGCTGTGCCCGCGGAGCCCGAGGTTGGAGCAGCCAGCATCCCGAGAGCCCTCCGAACTGGGAAACCCCAAACCCCGGGGACACTGGGACAAGCAGAGAAGCACAATTGCATGTGTTGACTATTGCTCCGGGTTACGACGTCAGGCGAAATGAATTCTGTGTGCGGCTCCGCTCTCTGCCCTGCCGTTACCCAACACTGGAGCTTGTCCTGGGAAATGACGGGGTTATGCCAGGTGCCAAAGCAGACGTGTTCCCACTTGTTATTTTCTGCATTTGCAGTGTTTGTGCTGAGGCAGGAGAGAGGTAATGTAAGAAGCCGAGGCCTGTTGAGAAGCCACATGATTTATGCATTTTCCTTTGGCTGTATTTTCCTATTGGGACATCTCCAATTTGCCCTGAGAAATATGAATTTTTAACGTACACAAATGAAAAGTCCTCCGAGGCCCTGTGTTGCCCCGGGCTGTGAATGACCACGGGTCACTGGGAAGGTGCTCTCTGCAGAGCTGGATGCACTTAACTTCAAACAGAGCTTAAAATGGCCCTGCCGGTGGGGACTGAGCCCTCAGGGCATTTCTCAGGGCCAAGAGGGAGCCCTGGTCTGCCCTGCGTGGAAAAGGGCTGCGGCCAAAATCCCCATGGGGTTCCAAGCGCCCGGCTCGGTTGGGGCTGGGGAAGGGCCGAGGTTTGCTCTGGGGGGGAAGGACCTTTCGCCCTGCACAGCAGAGCGCAGCCCCGGGAGGGACCCACAAGGACCCTGCCCCAGCCCAGCGGACCCTGCAGCCTTTGGGACACTGGAGCAGCCCGGGGAGCAGCAGAGCACGGTGGCCCTTGGGGCTGCCCCTGGGTCTCCGTGTGCTTCGTCGGGGTCCCCCTGCCTGGGGTCATCCCCCGGCTGGGGTCATCCCCTGGTGAGGGAACAGCGGACGCCAGAGGAAGTTATTTTCTGTGGACGTGTCTCTGCAGGAACAGGGGCCGCTCCCATCCCCATCCCTATCCTTATCCCAGTCATCACACCCATTCCCATCCACATCCCCATCCCCACTGCC